AGAATGAGAGAAATTTTTTTGCAAACCACATCTGACAAAAGTCTAATATTCAGCATCTATAAGAAACTTAAACAAATTATTATTATTTTTTGGGGGGGGGCAGAAAGACGGGAAGACTTTATTTCTCTGGAAACAGAGGGGTAGGGGGCGGGGGCCAGGGGTCAGGGCAGGGGAACTTTCTCCAGCTTCTGGTCCAGCCTCTTCCGGTCATACAGGAAGCGGGTTGGGGTGAGGATGTGTGAGGACCCAATGAGCCCCGGTGACCTCTTAGGCGGCCCGCATCTCCGACATGGCCACGCCGCCCATGACGTAAACTGTGACTCGGGCGCCCGCCCGGGTCTCTACGCCGGCCTTGTTCTTGTGCCAGTGACCGAAGCGGGCACTGACAGTGGCCTGGGAGCTGGCTGCAGTGGTGGGGTCGGTATGAAGGGCCACAGCTTCCTAGCCAGCCGGTCCTCCACGGCGTCCTCCATCACGTCCTTGACGACTGGGGTCCAGCGGGACAGCTGATAGGTGGGCTCCATGCACTCCCTTGGCTCCTGCCGGCTGGAGGCCCCTGAGCCCCCGGGGTTGGTGACAGTGCCTCCCAGCTGCTCCAGGTTGCGGATGAGGCTTCTGTTCACCTACACGTTGGCATGCTGGATCAGCTTGGCCAGGTTGTCCTCACGCCATTCCGAAGGAGGATGTAGAGCAACGGGACCCGGATCTTGTCATAGGCAGGCACCGCCGCATCCAGCAGCACCTGCAGGATCAGCTTCATGGAGTCCTTGATCTTCTCCCGCTTTGCATCGGAGCCCTTGGCCAGGTCCTGCTCCACACTACATGGCTTCTCTACCGAGCCCTTGAAGTGCTTCATGCAATCATCCGCTAGATGCAGGTGAGTAGAATACTTGTTCAGCTCTTTCTGGTACTGCAACATCTTTTTCAGGATGTGGGACAGGTCTTCAATGTTGGGCTTGTCTGTGCTCAGCCTCTTGCTCTCACAGAAGGTCTTCAGGAGCTCTGTGACCTTCTTGGACACATCTGCTATGTGCATGTGGTGAAGATCCGCGCACAAATCCTCCTCTTCATCCAGCAGGATGGCCTTCTCCCCTGCCTCACACAGCCCATTAGTCTCATATCTGTATGTGTCCTGCTCTATGTCCAGCAGATCATAGGCCGTGGCCTGAAATGTGAGTTCATGCAGCAGTGGGGAGACGGGGTCGGCTGCCCAGTCCATGATGAGCAGCTGTGAGCAGGTTTTCTCTGGGCCCTCACCCAGACTGGGAGTGTCTGCCTTGAAGGCGTTCAGCTTGGCCAGGATGGCGCGGGCCAACTGGGCTGTGTCCTCTGGGCCCTTGCGGTAGCGGATGGCCGGGTACTCCTGCAGCGTGGCGCACAGTGTGGCAATCTGTTGGGCCAGCGCTTCGAGCTGCTGCGTGCACTCCCCTTCCCAGAAGGGGCAGTAGAGGTTGTAGTTACTGTGGGGGGCATCGAGGGAGAACACCTGGGACTCGTAGGGGAGGAAGGCAAGGTGAATCTCCTTCAATGTCTTCACCACTTTTGCCAGACCAGAACGACCCAGCTCACTGAACAGGGGCTCGGGGCAGGTGTCGGTGAAGAAGATATGGGCCGCTTTGTAGGTAAAGGTCCAGGTCCTCCAGAAGTCTGCGATCAAGGCCTGAACTGACTTCTCTGTGGGGCTAAACAAAGGGCCTCCAGGCTGGGAATGAGTTCCCCCCATTTGTTGATGTCTTCAACAATGGTGATGCCCTCAGCTAGGATGTCTGACATTTTGCAGCAGGAAGACAAGATGCGCATGCTTGGGTGATCCGTGATCAGCACCTTCCACTCCCCATCCTTCTTGACACTCCAAATAACTCCGCTCGGAATTTTTCCCCCACCACCGCCTTCAGCATCGAGGGCGCCATCTTTCCAGAGGGGCGCCGACCAGTCAGAATGGCTATTACTAAAAGTCAAAAAATAACAGATGCTGCAATATTTTAGAGAAAAAGGAATACCTATGTCCTGTTGGTGGGAGGATAAATTAGTTCAACCATTGATGAAAACTGTGTGACAATTTTTCAGAGACCTAAAAGCAGAACTACCATTCAACTTAGGAATCCCATTACTGGGTATATACCCAAAGGAATATAAATCATTCTGTAGTAAAGACACATGCACGTGTATATTCATTACAGCACTATTCACAATAGCAAAGATGGAATAAATCTAAATGCCTATCAATGGTAGAGTGAATAAAGAATATTTGGTATGTATACATCATGGAATAGTATGCAGTTAGGAAAAAGAATAATATTATGTCCTTTGCAAAAACCTAGATGGAGCTGAAGGTCTTTATCCTTAGCAAACTAACACAGAAACAGAAAACCAAACACCACATGTTCTCAATTATAAGTGGGAGCTAAATGATGTGAACACATGTAGGGGAAAAACACACCCTGGGCCCTACTGGGGCGTGGAGATTGGACAGAGGGAGAGTATCAGGAAAAATAACTACTGGCTACTGGGCTCAATACCTGTTGGAAATGAACGTTGAGCTCTAAAACTGTTTTTTATGGTGTTGAGATGTAAGTTCCCATGTCATACTAGGTGTTGTTTCCCGTGTTTTCAAAAGTTGATGGATTGGGGGTGTTGCAAGCATTGGGAAAAGAAAACCGAGGTGGCTTAATGTTGCTGTGTTTCAGCAGTTGAATGTTTTTATTATTTATCTGTGTTTTTCTTTGTATGATTATTTGGTTAGTATTTAATATCATGGAGTGCTCTGTCTTCTCCCAAAATGATGTGTATTTAACTTAGGAAAGAAATGTAAAGTTTGGTAAATACGATGGGTCATGAAGGTGCAGTGAGACTGACTCCATCCTACTTTCAGGGATAGGCCATCCATCTCTGAAAGTGAAAAGAAACACTATCTTTACACCATAGTACCACACAGGGATAGAGCTTCCCTCAACCAGCTGGGGATTGTTACCTAGACCCAATGTTGTTTATTGTTAAATCTTGTGGCTTGAAATATTTACTGACTGAATTGGATATCTTAGTCTAGGTTACTTTTTCTGACACACATAATTGAATCAAATGCATGATATATATTTTAATTTTTTTAATTTACCACTTTATTTCAAGTTATTCTACTAAGCTCATGAAATATTTCACTATTTCATAACAGTGAGTTTATGGCATATGCATTCTAAGATTTAATACATTGTTTCTAGGGGAGGTTGAAATATAGTATCCTGAATCTTAAATATTATAGAACTTTTAAACAATTTGGCTTAGTTGGAGAAGGCTGTGGTATATTAAAGGATGTTATGTATTCCACATTACTCCTTAAGAAACAGATTTTCAGGCTTGGTGTGGTGGCTCATGCCCATAATCCCAACACTTTGGGAGGCTGAGGCAGGAGGATTGCTTGAAGCCAGAAGTTTGAGACCAGCTTAGGGAACAGAGCAGAACAAGACCTGGGTTCTATGAAAAAAAAAGTCAAAAAAGAAACATGCTTTTGAGATAATAGTGAGAAACATTTGATTCTGTTACATATCACACTAAGACTAGTTGAAGATAAGGAAAATTGATTCTGGAGAAAACAGAGACAAGGTAGACAGAACACATTGATTTCTGATGTAACAGTCAGTGTTTGATGAAACTGTTTATAGAAAGTAAAGCCAAAGTGCCTTATTTTACTGTGAGATACCTTTTAATAACCCAACTGTTAGATGAATAAAGCTTTTTTAAAAATTCAAAGCAAATGTTACTAATCATGTGGACTCTGGACGTCCCAGTTCACAGGGTTACTTCTAACATGTAGAGCACATGCAGCCTTCTGATCAGTGGAGAGTGAGGGGACTGCCCCTTCCAGAGTTCAGTACAGCCCCAGGACCCCATGGCAGCCCAGGGTCTTGGTTCATGCTATGGAAACAATACAGAATTTATTCACTCAGTAAACATTCACTAGGGGTTTATGATGCCCCTGATCCTTGGGGTCTACAGAACGCATCAAGCTGAAATCCTCTTTTACAGTAGACCTTCAGTTATTGAAAGACTACTCTTATTTTTTCACTAAAATGTTGTCAGTCATTCTCAGGATAAACATCACTAGTTCCTTTAACCAGGCCTCACTTATTGTGGTTTTCAGTTCCTTCATAATCCAGCAGTCATGGAAGGAAATGGGAAAAGGTGGGAGAGGGATTTGTAGTCACTGAATGGAAGTTGGGTTTCCAGTATCAAGGACTTTGGGAGGCAGGCCATTTCAAGGAGTGCATTGTAAATGCAGTAAATCACACAAGTGTTTGACATTACAACATATATGGACTGTGAGTTTTTGTTGCTAGAGGATTCACTGGTATATTTATGGGGAAGTGAATGCTTTTGTGAGTCTTTCCTCGTGCAGAAATACTTTAGGACCACATCAGGCTGCATCCCACTTACTGTTTCATCTTATTTCTCAAAATAGTTGTAGATTTTATGTGGTTAAGTCACCCATTTTAAAAACAAAGCTAAATGTATTTCCTTTGACCATATTTGACCATATGGTCATATTTTCTATGACCAGTATGACTATAGTATTTCCATATTTCCTGTGACCATAGGAACATCTCAGGGCATCACCAGACAAGTAAATTGTAGTTTTGACAAGCATCCACTGATACAGAGTCATTGAATGCTAGAGCTGCTCAGGACTTCTTAAAGTCATCTATTCCAATGCTGATAATTTACAAAGAAAGGGCTGAGAATCATAGTTATTACATAACCTGCCCAAAGTCACAACGGCAGTTAAGTAGCCACATTGGGACTCATAACTCCATATGTTGAATTCTAGACCAGAGCTCTCTATCCTAAAGCAATGCCAGAGTTACTCTTTTTTATTATAATAATAAAAAGTAATTTTTTATGCAGACTTGGTCTCACTGTGTCGGCCAACCTGGACTCAAACTCCTGGCGTTAAGCGATCCATCTGCTTTGGCCTTCCAAATTGCTGAGATTATAGGTAAGAACCACCACACACCTGGTCTTTGGAGGGACTCTTGCTTTGTGTGTTTGGGCTGGTCTTCCTCTGTAGTCAGTAAGATGTTCCTGCAGTGTAGTTTGGAATCTTTCTGCACAAATTCAGTGGATCCTGTGATTTTATTTTACATGTAATAAGATACATTACAAATAAATTCGCAATTAATAAGCTAGACAATTTACAGTCAGTAACCTATGGCCTAGAAAGGTTTATTCCTTTATCCACACGTTTATAAGGAAATGCTTGAAGAAGTCGTCTAAATATGCGGATTCCTAACCGTCCCCAAGAAAAAAGGAACCACTGGAAGGCAACTTGGGAGGGTGTGTGGGGTGGTTCTGAGGTTGTGAAAGCCACTGAAATTCACACATAAGGGGGTAGAAAGAGGGAATCCTTTTGAGTACCTACAAGTGCAGGGTATAACTTGGGCTTCATTAAGATGCACCACCTTTGGGGTCAGATAGAAATGGATTGAGTCCCAGATACATCTTTCATTACTACACGCTAGTGAATTTGTTTTCAAGTCCTCTGAGTCTCAGTCTTCTCATCTATAAAACATGGGGTTGTTATGAGGCTTACATATGGTACATGTGTAAAAATGTAGACACAATGCCTGTCATTTTGTAAGTGTTCAATATATGGAGGGAGAAGTATTAGTTTTCCCTCATTTAATTTTTAGAACAAGTTTATAAAATTTGAGTTATGATTCACATTTCTTAGATGAACCAAGCATGAGAAAGATTCCATAAATCCCCATAGTCACAAAGCAGCTCCCAGTACTTTTACTTGGTAATTGCTAGTTAAAAGTAGCAATGGCCAGGACCAGTGACTCACGCCTGGAATCCCAGCACTTTGGGAGGCCAAGGTGGTGGACCACTTGTGGCCAGGAGTTAGAGACCAGCCTGACCAACATGGAGAAACACCGGCTTTCCTAAAAGTACAAAATTAGCCCGGTGTGGTGGTGCATACCTGTAATCCCAGCTTCTCGGGAGGCTGAGGCAAGAGAGTGACGTGAACCCAGGAGGCTGAGATTGTGGTGAGCCTCCAGCATGGGCAAGGTTGCACTCCAGCATGGGCAAGAAGAGTGAGACTCCATTTCAAAAACAAAACAAAACAAAATGTACCAATGATTTTCACATTTAAATCTTGTATTGGCCAGGCGCAGTGGCTCACGCCTGTAATCCCAGCACTTTGGGAGGCCGAGGCGGGTGGATCACGAGGTCAAGAGATCGAGACCATCCTGGTCAACATGGTGAAACCCCATCTCTGCTAAAAATACAAAAAATTAGCTGCGCATGGTGGCGTGTGCCTGTAATCCCAGCTACTCAGGAGGCTGAGGCAGGAGAATTGCCTGAACCCAGGAGGCGGAGGTTGCGGTGAGCCGAGATTGCGCCATTGCACTCCAGCCTGGGTAACAAGAGCGAAACTCCATCTCAAAAATAATAATAATAATAAAATAAAATAAAATCTTGTATTATATGGTGGTTTTCTTTTTTCTTTTTTGAGATGGAATCTGTCTCTGTCACCCATGCTGAAGTACAGTGGCGCGATCTCAGCTCACTGCAACCTCTGCCTCCCGGTTTCAAGGAATTCTCTTGCCTCAGCCTTCCTGAGTAGCTGGGACAGGAGGCGTGTGCCACACGCCCGGTGAATTTTTTGTATTTTTAGTAGAGACAGAGTTTTATCATGTAAGCCAGGATGATCTCGATCTTCTGACCTCATCATCCAGTCACCTCAGCCTCCCAACGTGCTGGAGTTACAGGATTGAGCCACCCCAGCCGGCCCAGTTTTCTTTTACATAAGCCTTTTCATTTGTTGAAACCATAGATTCTAAGTTGCTCTATCCAAGTGATAATTAGAAAAATGTGATGTACTTAGCGTATAAATTTTAGGAAATTTCCCTTACTCCTCTTGTTAGTTTGATTGAATATGTGTGTAATTTTTTAAAAATGTAAACTGAATAGATATGTATTGAATCTACATGTGTATTGAAAATGTAAGTTGACATCACTGAGTACACTTAGTTCATGGCAATGCTCTCTCTGAAGGCAACTGCAGAAATTTACTGTCTCTTCTTTCTAGTTTGTAAGAACTCAGAGGCCACAGGGGAAAGGGAGTTCTTTGGATACCAGATAAGGCATGAAGCAGATGTGGTTACAGCAATTTTGGTATAATTCATTGAAAGGTGATGATCTCTAGGAACGTCATCACATTGGAGAAACCTGAAAGCTCCCAGCAGCCAGCAATGAATGAAAGGTGTGGGCGGGGCTGCCAACAGGGTGGGGCCTGGTGAGCCATGTGCCTGGGCTCCCACATCACAGTGGGGGTGGGGGCACCTCATAGAGGAGACTCTGATTGTTTCCTGTGCCCCAGGTTGGAACTCTGGTGGTTGGTAGGGCAACCTCCTTCAGTTGGTAGAAAGCAGTGGAAGGAGTAACGCCCTCTGTGCTGTCTTCTCCGTGAACTCAGCTCTCAGGCTTGTTGTGTCTAGACCCATTTTAAATCAAGCAGGTTCCCTTCAGACCAGTCATCTCAGGGGAGGCAGCTGAGGCAGGGAGTGAGCTGTTAGTGGGGTGCAGCCCCATAGCCAGGGGCTGGCCCTGCCAGCGTGCCTGTGTTTGAAAGAGGTGAAGTGCTGAACTCTGCAGACTGGGAGGCAAGGGAAGGTCCAAGTTGCTGGAGAGGAGCCAAGGTGCCCCATGGGGAACACGCTGAGTTGCTGTTTTTGCCCCAAAGTCAGCCGCAGGTGAGGTCTGCCTAGGCAGTCTGAGGATCTGTCCTTCATCTCTGACATCAGTGAGGCGATGGCAAGCAAAGGTGCGGGCCAAGACAGAAGGAATGTGTCCAACACCAGTGCCAGACCCATTTGGGGCCCGAGCTGGCTGTGTGGGGTGGTGTCTGGCAGCTGTGATGACATCTATAAGGCAGTGTCAAGCATAAGTGCAGACCAAGGCAGAGAGGAGCAGAGGCCGGGCAGAGGGATCATGGAGCTCCCCAATGCAAGACACAAGCAGAGCCAGAATGGGGTGCATGGGGCAGAACCAATAGAGTGGGAGGTGGTGGAAGCACCAGGCCCTACTGCTTTGGAGCCTGCCCTGTGGGATTTGGGAGCCGGCGAGGGCCATGACTTGCAGCACATCAGCGACCAGGAGATGCCCAAAGGTAAGGCAATGAATGATACTGTTTGCCCTCAGGCACGCCTCTGGCTGACACTGGTACCAGTTCTCACCACTCCCTCGACCCCAGAGGTATCCACAGCCTCGGGTTCCTGCCACCTGCCGCTCGCCAGCTTTCCCAGGCCCATGTACCAGGCAGGAGGACTGGCCCTGCCTCCTGCCTGCCCCCACCCTTCATGCTTTTTCCCTGCTGTATCTGGTGGTTTCTTTCCTCCTTCCTACCCCAATGCCCAGTTCTGGCCCCTTTCTCAACCCCAGGCTGGCCAAAAGCTAAGTTTTCCAAATAGGAAATGTATGCTACAGATTTCATTGCTGTAGAGGAAGTGTCTTACAGCTCTTCTGTTTACCTTGGTTGGCCTCTTAATTTATTTAAATGTTAGAATAATTAAGCTTCATGATGAATGTGACTTTGTAGCTAAAAGGTATTGTTCTCTCAGAATATTCAAAAATGGTGAAAGAATGAACACAGATAGTATGTGAATGAATTGTGCCTTTAAACACAAAGCATGCCAGTACTTGTGAAAGCTTTTCCTTGTTCGGTGGTGTAAAGTAAGCCTCTGAGTGCTTTCACACACCAGGTAGCAGATGGGTAGTGTTGGATGATGGCCCAAAATAGACTCTTCATATCATTTATGGGGATTTATAACACATTTACAGGTATGTCTCATTTGACCCTGTCTCTACAAAAAAATGGTTAAAAATTAGCAGGGTATGGTAGCTTGCACCCACAGTCCCAGCTGCAAGAGAATCTCTTGAGCCCAGGAGTTTGAGTCTTCAGTGAGTTCTGCTGGCTCCATCTCACCATTGCACCACTCCAGCCTGGGCAACAGAGTGAGACTTTGTCCGTTTAAAAGATTGTTTTTGCCCAAAACAGCCTTTAAGACATTTGAAATATTGAGCCGGTGTCTGACCACAGTAATTGACCACAGCATCTCTTACTGCTTGAGACTTTCCCTGAAATGTGCTGGTAATAGCAGCCTAGAGGAAGGTGGTTATATTTGATAAGTAGAGGGAGGAGGGCATATATGTGATGCAGCTAAAAGTTGCATCTGTTTGTTTAGGTGCAAGTTTGGAAAAGACGTCCCAGCCCCAGCCTGGTTTTATTCCACATGCATGGAGAGATTCTGTGATTTTTGCATTCTCCAGTAGAATTGGGACATTGGTGCCTTTATTTTCTTGACATTTAAAAAGCTAAAAGCTTTTCTCAAGACTGTTAAAAGTGATTCAAATGGTTATGTAGCTTTAAAAAAGAATCTTTTCTACTCACCTCACTTTTAACATTGTTTTCTCTTCTTCCTCCACAGATACTGCTTCTGACCATCCAAGGGCAAGCACACTCTTCCTGAGAAAGTATCAAATGAGTGGTAAGACAATATTGTTTCTGCCTTCAAGGAAACCCTAAAACTTTTCTGTCTTGTGTATTACAGAAAGTATTTAGAGAAACTCAGATATTAGTTAAAAATGTTCAACTTTTCATAGATTTTCTTGTCTTATTTTCATATGTGATATAATTTCCTTTAGTTGTCACTGTTTATGGAAACATACAGACTTTGTGTTTACACATTTGGTGACATTTTTACCAACACAATTAAGTGGCCACATGATTTAGTGTTGTAGTCACAGATTTATGCCTATTTCTTCATAGGTCTTTGCCATTTTTCTCTTGCTCTAAAGAATATGTTTTAATAACGAATGATAGGATTTAGGCCACAGCTTGGATTTCACTTGAGCAAATCAAAAGAATCCATTGTTCTAGATTGGATCTGTGATGTTGGCCTCATTGTTCACAATGCTCTAACCACTGTCACATCCAAGTCGATGCTAGAACTTTTTCATTGGAATGTAATAGAAATGTAACATGCCCTGTGCTGTTTTCCGTATTAGCCTTAGTGTGTGAAACTCGTGTAAAGTTTCCATATCCTGCCTGTTTTAGGATGAGAATTAGAACTGTAGGATTTTTCTGTACTGTTGCTTATGTTACATAATGTTCTGTTATCTTACTTTATTTTCAAAAAAGCCATACACCATGTTTTCAGTTAATTTTAACAACAAGAATACAAGAACTGGGGGTTCTAGAATAATATCTGAAGTAATGCAGCACAATAAAAAAGGGGTTGTTCACCTGCATTTTCATAGTTTGTGTGGAGTTTGTCTGACTTCAGCTAGTAATTTCTGGTTAGGATTGTTCTATTTCTCAGTTTCTTCCAAGAGCCATGGGCTTCTCACACATAGAGTGTATGGAAGTAGAAGAAAACCGATCCCCTGCCCCTGTTGCTTCAGTGGTGAGAAATGTGTGTCAATGAGACCAGTTCACCTTCAAAGGAGGAGGCATTGTAGGGAAGAAAGTGTGGCCCAAGTCCCTCTTTGGAGCTTTTATTCTTTGAATTTTTGTTAGAACAAAATGATTGTGTGTGCTGAGGATACCCTGTGCAGTTAGGTTGGCACACTCATTTTGACATTTAAGTTTAAGATAGGCTACCTTTCAGTTGAGTAAAGACCCATTTATTTTTTCAGTAATGTAGGAATAGATGACCGAGAAGTCATTTGGGATGCTTCCAGATATTCTAGTGCATCTCGAGATTGACCCCTGGCCAGAAACTGGTTCTTAGAGCTGTCAGCTATTAGATCCTGGTAATGAAAGTAAGCTGTGTGTAAATGTAGAATCAGAAAACAAAACACTGCTCCATAGGGGTTCAGAAATACAATAGGTAAGCGTTTTTATTAGCTAAATTTCTCATCTGTCCCACATTTTGGCATTTTTATGAAGGAATACTTGAGACGGGATAATTTATAAAGAAAAGAGGCTTTATTGGCTCACGGTTCTACAGGCTAGACAGGAGGTGTGGTGCTAGCATGTGCTTCTGGCACGGGCCTCAAGAAGCTAATGATCATGGTGGAAAGTGAATAATTCATCTTTCACATGGTGAGAGGAAGAGCAAGAGAAGAGTGGGAGGTGCCGCAGGCTTTTAAACAAGCAGATCAGGCCAGGTGCGGTGGCTCACATTTGCAATCCCAGCACTTTGGGATGCTGAGATGGGCAGATCACTTGAGCCTGGAGTTTGAGACCACCTTGGGCCCACGTAGTGAGACCCTGTCTCTATGAAAAATTTAAAAATTAGCCAGATATGGTGGTGCATGCCTGCAGCCCCAGCTACTCTAGAGGGGAAGGTGGGAGGATCACTTGAGCCCAGGAGGTCAAGGCTGCGGTGAACCATAATCACACCACTGTACTCCAGCCTGAGCATCAGAGTGAGACCCCGTCTCAGAACAACAACAAACAACAACAACACCCCAAGAAGATCTTGTATGAACTCAGAGCAGGAACTCACGCATCACCAAGGGGATGGGGCTAAGGCACTTACGAGGGATCTGCCCCCGTGATCCAAAGACTTCCCCACCTCCAACACTGGGGATTACATTGCAACATGAGATTTGGAGGGCACACACATTTCCTAATTTGTTTTGCCTTTCCTTATGTACATGGGGATTCTTTCATTTGAACGTGATAGAATATGTGTTAGGTCAAAAAGTAAAACTGTTTTTAAATTTTACATTATGAGATTCATCATGCCAGATTATCTAAATGTTAAACGTTATTTAAAAATTTTTTAAATTGATTTTTTATATAGTGATAATCAGATTTATCTTGTTTTATATAGTGATGGTCAGATGATTAGCAAGTACTTTTATTCTATGGTATTTTATTATACCAGAATTCATTAGCTATATTTTTATTTTTAGTGCAAGGAAAGAGGAGAAGCTTTCGCCTATATTCTGTAAGTAAGCTTTTGAAAAGTTAAATAATTGTTTAAATTAAAAGTCTATCTGTCATGATTCCTTAGAAATGTAACAGGGACCCAGTGCTGTTAGCGTGATCCTTTCTTGGTGAATTTTCTAACTCTTTTCTATTTTACTAAGTGTCAGATTTATGCAGGAAAGTCTTTAACTTACTGTGCCCATTTTTAGGGCTGTCTGACATTTAAGTTAAATTTAAATTATTTGGTTGTGATATAAAGATCTGCCTTAAATATTTAATCTTTTAAAATGAAATCAAATGGAAAATAGCAAAGTCCATTTTCTTCAACACTTTCTGCTGACTCCCTGTCATAGCAGCTGAAAGCGCAGCATCCTCACTCCATTGCACCCTTATTTCCCTTTCCGTTTCTTCCACCTGTAACACATTTTTAATTAAGTCATGAATTGATATTTACATGATCATGACTATGCACATCATATTCACTGCTGAGTCATATAATGTTCGGAGTGTGCCTCCTCCTTGTACATCCTTCATTCTTTCTCTTAAATATTTCTGAAACCTGAACACTTCTTCACTTCTCCCAGATAACCTCCCTTTTCCTAGCCCATGATGGCTCATAAAGCCAAATAATGACCATTAGCCTCCAGCTGGTCTCTTTGTTTTCACATCCTTCATTTGTGTGTGTGTGTGTGGAATTGATTTTCTGACTATATTCCTTTGGCTCTCTAACAACTATTCTTCCCCAAGAGTTGTAACATTTGTCACATGCCTATCAAAAATATGTTTTATCTACTAAAAAATACATTCCATGTTTTTTCCAAGCACGTTTCCTTGGCCTTTTGTTATCATCCTCAGGATAGACTGTGTTTTCCTAGGCTGCCCTGCACCTGTTGGCCTGGGAGCTCTCTCTGAAATCTTCTGGGACCACTCATGTTGGGTCCCTGAGTCCTAGACTGTGCGTTGCCCTCTGCCTTGTGTTACTCCCCGGTAGTGCTGGAACACAGTTTCTGAGGAAAGGCTCATGTACACACATGTTTAGAGATCTGAGCTTTCTTAAAACGCCTCCTTTGATATAGAGTATAAAATTCTAGAGTGAAAACTAAATGTCATGGCTTGAAAACATTTTTCTATTGCATTTTTATTATACTGTTTTTGGAAGTATTGCCATTGTGTGATACGTCATATGTAATCAATGTTTCCATCTGTCAAGTTTTTAGGACCTTCTCTATCCCTGAGATTCTGAAATTGTATCACAGAGCTTGGTATGGACCTTTTATTTTATTGTGGCCCTTAAGTCTACAATAAAAGTTAGAGAATTTTTCTGTGTGCTCTGTTTTGTTATTATTTTAGTCTAATGATTCAGATGTTGGACCTCTTAGACCAGTATTTCTGCATTGATCTGTAATTTCTTCACCTCCGATTTTCCAGTTTGTCTTTTGTTCTGTTCTTCGAGATTCTTTGACTGTCCATGCTAACTGTTCTATTGAATTTTTAAAAAATCTCCTTAAAGGTGTTTTAAGATTTGTAAAAAAGTTTGGCTCCTGAATTTTTACTGGTCCCAGGAATTCCTTTTCCCTGTTGTTTTGATCTCCCATTGGAGGCTTTGCTCAAATGTGTGGTGGTCTTTGGCTTTCTTTCATTGAAAGCAGGACCTTTTTTTCACTGAGGGGTCTCACTGTAGGGATTTAAATGTCAAGGCAGCGTTTCCTTTGAGGGACATCAGTGTACTATATGAGGAAAGGAGGGTATTTTCTTTGCCATGGTCCAGTTTTCTTCCAAGAAGGGCCTCCCAATTTTCTGCCTGGGCAGTGCAAGCATGGCTGCTGGCTTTCCAGAAGCAGGGTTGGGAAGCAAGGTGGTTTCACTTTGTGTCTGCCATTGACTCCCATTTCCCAGGTTTCAGCCCTGGTAGGTCTGAGCTCAGAAACCTTCAAGTATAATATATCGAGAGAATACACATCCACATTCCTTTTATGGTGGGAGGACAGGTGGACCTGGGGTTCTAACCACAGATTTACTATTGAACTTGCCGGCTCTCTTGTATGTTTCACCCTACCTTCCCAGGTACTATGTGCTCTGATTTTGGAGACTGTATTGTGTTCTTCAAAATACACAGTATTGCTTGTTTCTGTTCAAGTCACTCCCTGTGGGCACCAGCGTTGTGCTTTCATGTCAGTTACCACTCCTCTATCTGCTTGTCACCTTGCAACATTGACTCAGAATCTGCTGTCAATCCTGTCTCCTGGTCTTGTGTACAGTGTTTATTTTATGACTAATTCTCATGAGATTTCAGAAGAAAGAGAAAACAAATTTGTGGTCAATCCATCATATTTAACCCAAATTTAGAACCCATATGTAAGTGTAAATCTAAGTTTAAATTGAACATAATTATGACATTAATTCAGACAATTTTCTAGTTATACCTATAATAAGCATATTACACTTTTCCACTCAGGCCTTGTGTAATAATTCTATTCAAACTCCATACCTGCCATGTGGTCCCATTGCTGTGCCACATCGATGGAGCTGATTTTGTTAGCGCACAAAGTATTGGAAATTTTCAAGTTACCTAAAAGTCATTACTTATTTTAAAAACATCGAAAACATGCCTTGGCTTCCCAAAGTGCTGGGATTACAGGAGTAAACCACTTCACCTGGCCAGGAGGAACAATTACTTAACATAGTTGAGGCAGTTTCTGTATTGACTATTGCAATTTCAACAAATGAATAGATACTTTGAAAGTGTTTTACAGATAGTTTTTCATCTACAGGGCTCAAAGCGTTCACTGTCATGTCTCTGATAGCACTGTGGATGAATTTTCACTGATTTGTATCTGTAGGAAGATTTACTTTCCAAATCATAACTGATTTAAATATTTGTCAAGCTCTTATTTAACTCCTTAATTTCTCCCACATTCTGTGCTCAGCGGCTGCAGGTAGGAGAGAAGGGGTCCTCCCTCCCCTGGAGAGGCTCATTTTCTCATGAGGGGGATGCTCTGCAGGCAATTGTATCATGTAACACATGGTGAATTAGACTGATGAGTACACAAAACCAGAAACGTTTTGTGGTGTGGCTGCAGGCAAAGGATCTCAGAAGGTGGATGAGGTCAAACTTGCTGGGACAAGGGGGAAAGGAATAAATATTCCAGACAGACAGCAGCACGAGTAAGGCAGGAATGTGCCAGAATGTGCATCAAATAACTTAAAGAATGAAATCGATTAACTTTTGAAATGATTGCAGAGTATTCTCAGAAGTTCTCATTTGAGTAGTGTCATAGCAGTCTTATGGAAACATGAAGTGAAAGTTAAATTCCCAAAGTTGTTTTCATCGTCTAATTTTTGGATGTGAGAGAGTCTTAAAGCAGTACTTTTTCCATCCTCCCACAAGGAAACAGGCCCAGGGAGACCTATGGCCCCTCACTTGTTTGTTGACTGAGCAGCTCTGGCACACACAGCCTCTGACTCTAACACACTGGCTCCATCGCACTCTCTCTTGAATGCACACGCTTAGGATTAGTAACTTAGTAAATGTTGTATTAGGTCTTCATTTACTGCAATCAAATGCTCTAGTATCAATATTGTTTAATGTATGACATTTTATTGCAGTTAATGAATAACAGGAATAGAAAATCTCAGTGCTTTTTACTGCATAAGAAAAAAACATGAAATCCCATTTTAAAAGTTTCCCATTATTTATCAAGGGAATTTATAATAGAGGCTTGCCAGGTTTGATGATCGGTGTCATATCAAGGGCAGCACTTTATAACCCATTTCTCAAACATCATGTGTGAAAGTTAAGAGTCTCCAATGAGTTTCCCATAGTGCTGCACATGATACCACACTCAGGCAGGTCACGGGTATAAAAAATGCCTTAATGCTTTATTGTTTGACATTTTGACAAAGGGAAAAAAACCCACACTTTTGTAAGTTCAGCCTACTGTGATATTTTTCTCTATCATCCTTCTTCTTCAGATACGTCCGAGGCATCTTGGTAGAACGTACAGCTCGTGTTCCACCATATTGCTGGACAACAGCACAGTCAGTGAGCCTGAACTCTGCCACACATTAGAAAGGTGAGTACAACAAGGCTGCCAAGGGCTGAGTGACAGCCCCCAGCATGCTAAAAGCATCCCGGCTATCCACTGTTATTTCAGTCATTTAGTTGCCCTTTTCAACAAGTACTTGAAGAAGTTGATGTCAATGATATATGGATTTTTCAGGACCTAAGTGTGAATTTTCTGTTTCTCTTTTAATCTTAGACACTGCATGGTAAAAGGGAAAGCCAGTTAGCACATAAGCACTCGCAGAAAAAGCATGGCTATTTATGTTATGACAGTATTGAACCTAATGGACAGGAGAGGTACTTTTTATTGGATGTTTCTAGGAAAAATTATTAGTTATTTATGGGCCAGAGGCCTAAGACGATGGGCACTACTTTGGAAACTACTCTTGGAAGAAGGAACAGCTTGTCCTCCAGCGGCAGCATAGTGTGTCTGCATTTAAATTTTCCCATCATGCACCAACACTTCATAAGCCACAATCAGAGATGCCCTTTCAAAGCACCCTTGAAAGATGGGTTCAAGTTGGTTTAAAAAGCCAGCTCCAATGGAGATGCCCAGGAAACATTATTAACACATCTCCTTCCATTATGAGTGTTGATTTTCAGAAGACAGTTTGAGAAGTGGTACCTCAGAATGTAAATCTCCTTATCCCTAACTTGACTTTCCAGTCTATAAACATGACTAAATTACAAGCTTAATTTTGTCTCTAATGTACTAGTTTTTAAACTAATTTGTAACTTCTACTTTATTAAAAAATGGCAGTTTATACTCATAATAATGTGACTTTCCTCTCTCGTGTATAACAGTATTTGAGATCCGATTGTGTTTCAGCAAGAACTGGGCTCCACCTGCGTCTAAAGCCCTGCGCTTTGACCTCTATGCTGTCATCACTCAATGTTTGTATTCAGTCCTAAGTAAAAAGCCACCCTTTTTCGGCTAGAGTCGCTGGCTGCTTCTGATTTCAAAAGATTCTAATGTTCAGTATGCAATTCAAAAGTAGGTTTTAAGCTTACCCTTGTTCAAACAAGTAAAAATCCTGGTTTTTCTTCCAGCGTAGTCTAAATTTTACACGTTTTTTTTTTAAATTGAAATATATATATTTTCCTTTTTGGAGAAGGGGTTTTGCTGTGTTGGCCAGGCTAGATTCAAACTCCTGGGCTCAAGCAATACACCCAAGTCAGCCTCCCAAAATGCTGTGATTACAGGCATAAGCTACCATGCCTGGACTAGAAGTCTATATTTGAAGCACATAAGTTTTAATTTACTCTCCAGTTTTAGAAGGGATTATTTGGTATATTTGCTTTTGATGAAATAAAGGTTTACTGAGTAAGTTAATATAGCAAATTGGCTTTTAGGAAAGATTTTGAAAAATGTATTTCATTGTTAGTAGAGCATTGTTCTCAATGGAAGAAGTGAGCCATAGTAGAATCACTTACACTGTTTCTTCAAAATACATGTCTGCAAACACATGCATCTTCCCAGCTCCACCTTCCCTTTATGTCCAGGCACTCACATGCCTTTTAAGAAAACGGAGAAGTATGTGAGACATCATTATATGGATAAAAGCATCCCAGATGATTCTGATCTCAACCCTAATTCAGTCATTCCCAAACTTTGCTGCACATTGGAATCACCTGGGGAACTTTACCAACAACCCTGATGCCTAAAGCACACCCAACACCAATTAAATTAGAAAATCTCCAGCTGACATTGAGGCCCTGTTTATAGCTCCCCGGGTGATCCAGTGTACAGCAAATGTGGAGGCCACTGCTTCCTTTGTGTCAAAAAGTGATGGTTCTTATATACGTTTTCCCTGTCATTTGCTCTTGTTTCTACCCATAAAGCCTTTCATCTGTGCGAGTCATTTCTATCTATGTGTGCATATGCTTCAATTTATACCATACAGTAGTGTTTTGTGAACACCTGCAGTGCACAGGAACACTGTTCGGGTACCTTGGGCAAATCAGTTTTAAGCCTTGGTTCTCTAAATTGTAAAATGGGTGGTGCATGGAGTGTCATGTGAGGTTCGGTGGTCCTTTTCAGCATGTAACTTCCAATTCCATGATCTTAAAATTTGGAGATGAAACTGTTGGAAGCACTATAGAAATCTTAGATGCTAATAATGTTGTAAGGCCTAGTTTTTCCAACTCCAATTTGCCTTCTCAAATTATTCTGAGCCTCATTTTAAATGTTCAGGGTGAATAGAAGGCCAGAACTTACCAAAGAGAAGCTGCTGTTTCCTGACACACAACATCTGTGGATGACTGGAACATAGTAACATACATCCGAAGAGTTGTATTTGTTCATTCATATTTTGTTTAAACTAACACGGAAGTACCTGTCATTAATATTGTGTGATGTGGTGTTACGCTGTGTGTTTAGTACTGCTTATTTTAGGAGAGCTACAAGTGTCATTGATTTTTGGATGCATTATAATGTTTACTAATAAATATTCTGCTAATCATGCATAGGTGATTTTAAATTATTTTATTTGGTATAAAGCACATTCATTCTGTGCTTTTAGGGAAACAATGACAAATGGGTGAGTAGGTGATGGTGAACTAAATCAGCCAAAATGCGGGGCCTAGCAACTTAAAAAGCAAAACATGACTGGCCTAAATGTAAGCATATGTACACATAGATATAAGCAACTTGCACAGAATGAAAGGTTCTATGGGCAGAAGAGGAAATGACAGGAAAAATATGTCATTATTTATACATAATAATCATCTGCAGACATAAGTCTTCTAACAGCATATTGCCTAGCATTTTGGTTCTCCTTTTTTTGCTGTAAAGCCAGAGGACTCAAACAAAAGGAAAGTGCTCATATGGTACTGTTTGGAAGAGAGGATTTCAGGGCCACTGAGAGGGTTCCCTCCCCCCCGCCACACACACCTTTAGAAATATATCTTCAGGCCTAACAAATGATAAAATCAGTTCTTACAATTTTTTTTTCTCTCCACAGTGTGACTTTGGCAATATATTACAACATAAAGCACAGGTGAGCTCTTTGAAACCTGTCTTGTTATTCCAGCTCATCACTTTGTGTCATACGAAACATGCTGTCAGGTCATAACTCTAGACATCACAAGGTGTAGAGTGCTTATTTTACAATGTCATAGTGAATCATTTGTGGGTTTTTTAGTCCGTAAGACTCTTTTAAATTATTAAGGGTTCCTAAGTGTATTTATGTCTTTGTTTGCAACTGATTTGTAAAGAAGCAGTAAAAAGATGCCCTAGCCTCACGCAAATATATAGTAGAAAAAAGGCATATTTTTGAAGCTTTCAGGTAACTGTGGGTATTCTTTCACCACACCAAAACTCCAGAAGTGCTAACTGATTAAAATAGTTATAGCGGCATTGTAGATATCAATGAATTCATTCACTGATCTTTCTTGTACAATAAATGGATCTTTCCCCTTACTGGTTTTTACAATATTATGCATTGGCTACTTGGTTTATTTATACTTTCAAAAACTCACTTTCATTAGTATCACCACCATTATAAAAATGTCTTCAGTTATGGAGATGCTGTCAAGCTTACAGTAGTAGGTATGAGTTTTCAAAGTCCTGATTTTTACCTTGAAAGTTTTAGCTTTATTATAGACAAATACTTGTTATTTTCCTGGAAATGACAGATTCACTTGACTTAATTTTATGGATAATAGTCAGTTATACTTTCAGATAAAAATGGTGTTCTGTGAAAAATTGGCTTGTTCAGCTCACAATTTAATCACAAGTACTTTTCTTTAACATGACCGTACTTCAGTATGCAGAAGCACTTTATGTGAACTTTCTACTTAGAATACTAAAAAGAGAGGTCAAGATTTAATAACACCATTAATTTTTACTGTTTCATCATGGACATTCTTTCATGAAAAATGCTACTTTAACAAAAACTGCAAGGGGCAGTGAAGAGTGAAATGAATACTGGTATAATTTGGTACCACTACCCTTATTCATACTGAGAAACCATCAGTTTTACCCACTTTTGCTTTTAAACAGTCATTACAAGTGTTGAACAGGGAGAAAGCAATCAATGTCTTAATACTTTTAAAAAGTAATAAATTATTTGTGTGTTTTATTTTCAATCAGCTTCTCAGGTTGAATTAGTATTCTTGTGAGAACAGTTTGGGCCATACATGGTGGTTGACACCTGTAATCCCAGCACTTTGGGAGGCCACAGTGGGATAATTATTTTGAATCAGGTGTTTGAGACCAGCCTGGGCAATGTGGCAAGACCCCATCTATCAAAAAAAAAAAAAGATCAGCTGGGCATGGTGGTGCAGACATTTTGTCCCAGCCACTTGGGAGGCTGAGGCAGGAGGATTGTGTGAGCCCACAGAGTCAAGCCTGCAGTGAGTCAGGTTTTTACCACTGTGCTCCATCCTGGGTGAAAGAGCAAAACCCTATAACAACAACAACAACAACAATCAGTTTTGACATCATGGGTCTCCTAGGGAACCTCAGGGGTCCACAAACCACATTGGGAGAACCACTGGTTTCCTAAATGATCACATAATGTGTTAGTTTTTAAAGTTCATTAAAGACTGGCCTCTTTTAAAATAAAGAGGCAATTAAGTCTGTAACTCAAACTACTTCAGCAAACATAAAGTATAATCAAGAAAGATTTGGGAAATCTTAATTGATTCTAAAAATTTCTAAAATCTTTATTGCCAACAACTACTGCTTTCTAAAATGTTCTTGTGTTCCACCATGAGGTTAGAGGAATAAAACCAGATATGGCTTATTACCATTGCCTGTTAGCGGGGGTCAGTATTTAAAGGCAAGTCTGGCTCATCAATGTAGAAAAGACTTCCCAGTTCAGAACGTGATGTGCTGATGAAAAAGAGGTCAAGAAACCCTCTGAAGGCCGGGATCCAGGAGAAAAATTGGCAACAACAGTTTTGGTGAACAAATTTTACCAAAGCAAACAAGAAGTATCTCCCTCCACCCTCCATGCCCTACTCCCAGCAGATACTTTACTAAGATATTAACAATTTCTGAATTAATTTCTTAAATGTACATTCTTCTTTTATAGATATGCAAATAGATCCCTGGCTATTTTTGATGAGCCAATACATCCACTTTCAGTAAGTGTCACGTTCTCTGAGGTTCTGTTTATGTCTTATAGACTTGTGTTTATTTCATGATGAAGTCAAAATCACCCACCATTAGGTCTTCGCTAAGTTGTGTCTAATCATCTTACGTAAGGAGTGTTGTAAATTGGACACACTGGAGTAAGAGCTGACTTACAGCTTTGTTTAATTTGTGCGCCAAGGGGAATAAACATACCATCCAAATAACAAAACGTGTCATTTTAAAAGAAAAATTGTTATAGCAGCAAACAGTATAAATATTTGTAAGTAGTCCTAACAAATATGCACAAACTCTGTGAATAGAATAAGAAAACAATTTAAATTTAAATTTGTTTAAATGCTATAAAAACTTAAAAACTTCCTTCTTCAGGTATGTGATAGCCACAGGGCCACCTTAGCACCTATGTCTACAGAAAACCAAAAATATTTTAAGATCCTACTGTTTATATTTTTAGAACTAAAAGACATTTTATCCCAGCAAAATTATTACAAGGGACACATGAGCACAAATTTGAACATTGCCATCTTAAGAGTACCTAGGAAGTTTTTTTGAATGAATATTTATATTGCCATTTTTCTTCTTTCAGCAAGAAAAGATTCCAGGGAAATCCTTTGAGGATGATCCCACACACCACTGCATTTTCAGATATTTCTGTACTCTTTTTTTCTAGTCACAAAACTAACAGCTCCATGTGTGATCGTAGCTTTAGTAAGCTCTTTCTTATCTATAAAGATCTTTAATAACTGGTCTCCTACACAGTGTATGGCCGTGTTTCTAAATAAAAGTAGGTTCCTAAAGTTATCATCAGATCTTTTAAGAGAAACCTATGCAAGCAAAGTAAATACACTTATTAGAGTTTAATCATTGTCATGTTTTAAAGTGATGCCATTGCTTTTCTTATCAGAGAATAATTGCTACTAAAAGCAGCAGGAGAGACATATGGTTTCTCCCTCAACAGATTCCAATGTGGGTCTAAGCTGAGTTCCCAGCTGTTCCTGTGGAGTTGAACCCTGGGAGGGAGGGTTATTCCTTGGATACCCGACAGTGCCGACTTTTGGAGAAAGGGAGCAGCATCTCTCATAAGAACATGTAATGTTCAAGGGCCATGTGATTTGGAAAACACAGTTGACTTTGGAGAACATTGCCAGATCTGAGCCGCCAATCTGATAATGTTCAGACAATAAATGAACTCTCTTAAAATGAACTGTTTTCTTTTCACCTTGATACAAAGACTTCAAGTAGCATAGAGTCATATTCTTCTACAGAGCACCCTCTGAGGTAGCAACACCTCACAGCTTATCTTTGTAACCTCCACTCAGCTGGTCCCTCACTTACTTCTTTATAGGGTAGAGGTTGAATAAATAGAGAATACTGTCTTTCTTTTTTTCTTTTCTTTTTTTTTTGAGATGGAGTTTCGCTCTTGTTACCCAGACTGGAGTGCAATGGCGCGATCTCGGCTCACCGCAACCTCCGCCTCCTGGGTTCAGGCAATTCTCCTGCCTCAGCCTCCCGAGTAGCTGGGATTACAGGCATGCACCACCATGCCCAGCTCATTTTTTGTATTTTTAGTAGAGACGGGGTTTCACCATGTTGACCAGGATGGTCTCGATCTGTTGACCTCGTGATCTACCCGCCTTAGCCTCCCAAAGTGCTGGGATTACAGGCTTGAGCCACCACACCTGGCCAAGAATACTTTCTGAAATAGTTTCTGAGATTATCTCACAAACTGCTTGACGGGTTTAGAGACACCCCAAGGATACAGAGGCCGGCAGCTCTCTCTGCCTTCAAACCCACAGAATTGACTGAATGCAGATACTGTAGGACAAGAAATAAGTTTTCGTGAAGTGATTGTGGAGACATGGAAAATAGGGCCTGTGAGCAGGACCCTCCATTCATTCACATGCATTTCCCATCAAGGCAGTGAATACAGGGACTGTTTCTCTGCAACAGAGACCTGCCCTTGTCATGCTGTCTGCGCGGCAGGCACTGGGAGGCACTCCTGACCCACAGTTCCTAAGCCTGTGTCCCAAGAGCGGGTTAGTTATTGTGAAAAGGAGAAGACAGCAGTGTTCTCAGTATGGCTTGGGTGCTATAACATTCGAGCATGGTACACCTGTAGAATTCCTATCTACCTGCACGCGGATAGCACTGTAGTGTTTCCTGAACAACCTTAATCCACACAAGGCCTGTGTTTGTGCTGCCTTTCATGAGTGTGAAGGTGCCGAAGGTGCCTTTCTTCATGCTCACATCCCTGTGAGTGAAATTGGCATGGAAATATCTATGGGCAGAGTATGCTGCAGAGGTATCTGACTATGACTGTGACTTGGCCTCTCGCTTTGTCTGAGCAAAGTCTCTGCAGAACATAAGAATAAAAGGCACTTACTTTCTGGCCAAAACCAGAAGTGTTTCATTCTGAAATGTTCTTATCACCACACTGAAACAGAACTGAAATCAAAGACAAGTGCTCTATTTTGCAGGTGTACATTGAATGGCTTTTAACTAAGGCTAACATCGATCTTTGTCCTACTAATTGGAAAAAAATTGTCCTCGGAGCCATGCTTCTGGCCTCCAAGATTTGGAGAAATCGTGGTCTGTGGAGTGTGGATGACAGCCAGAATCCGAAGGATGTTGCAGTTGAGACAATGTGAGTTTCTAAGGTTTTGGCAAACTTTGTCATCATTTTCCATGCCTCATTTGCTCTTCAAGTATCACTGTAAGAAATATCTTTATAGGTTTCATTGTGCAGATAAAGGAAATAGGCATAAGATCACAGACTTCAATCTATCCAGCCTTAGTATAACAGTTTGTATTTTCCAGCATGAATGGGTAAGTCTCGATGTGTTATTGTTGTAGCAACTGGCTGATAAACTGATTGTTTTTTGGCAAACCTCTTACAAGTGTGCTGTCAGAATGACACAGTACAGTAAATATCTTTATAGCTTTTTAGAAGCCGCCTGCCAGTTTCAGTCCCCTTTTAAGGGGCAAACATCTGGCCTTTGAAATAATTGGCCACTGTTAAGGTCTTAAGGTCTCTGGACTATGCAGAAGTTACAGCTTTAACCTAAGTCACCCATTGTGTATTTGCTTTTGCTGGTCCTTGTCTCCCCCTTTAATCTGAATCTGTTTTTATAGGAACCTTGAGATATGATGTTAAATAGCTACAGATTTCTGTGCCCCTCCCCATTGGGAACATTGCATGTGTTTGGAAATCAGTCTGATGTGTTAGAAGATTCCGCGTTCACTTCCCACAGTGTGAGTATTTCTGGGGCATCACCCCATGCACACCACACTCACAGGCTCCCTGGGTACTCAGACATTCACAAAAGTAGGCTGGGGCCAGTAGTTGTTTATGAGAGTGGGGGGAGCCTTGTGGGATCATGGGGTTTCTCCCAGATGCACCACGTGACACTGAAACACAGCTTCCCCAGGGTTCCCTTCCAATTTGGCCTTATGACTGCTGTGAAGTGAAGGGCCCTGACACAGGCAGACAGGGTGAGCAGGGGGGCAATTCCAGCAGAGCCACCATGGGCCCGCTGGACAGTGAGGACAGCTGTGTCGGCTGCATCTGGTGCAAGATGAGGGAGCAGCTCTTGTTTACATTGAGCAGGAGCAGAAAATATGATGCCAGACAGTGGCACAAGTTAGTTTTGTGATCTTTGCCCGTGACTTCAGATAGGACTGTTACTCAGAATCACCTCAGTGTATGTCTACAATTGAAGATACAGTGTATAATGCAGATATACTGCAGTGTGTATATATCTACATTCAAAAATAACCACTTGGCACCTGAACAAGTGGCTCATGCCTGTAATCCCAGCCCTTCAGGAGGCCAAGGTGAGTGGATCGCTTGAGCACAGGAGTTCAGACCTGCTGGGTAACACAGTGAACCCTGTCCATACAAGAAATTTTTTTTAAAAATTAGCCAAGTGTGTTGGCAGGTGCCTGTAGTAGTCTCAACTAGTTGGGAGTCTGACATGGGAGAATTGCCTGAGCCTGGTAAGTTTATGTCGTAGTGAGCTGTGATCATGTGACTGCACTCCAGTCCTGGGTGATGGAGCCAGACTCTCTCTCAGAAACAATAACAACAACAAAAGCATTTTTGCCACCACTTTGCTAAGAGTGTAAACCAAGTGATCATTGTGATATTTGTGGTAGCCATTTTAGCAAGGAGTATGACAGCAAATGAATTTGAAACACATGGAAGTACTGTGAAAGTTTCAAATGCTAAACTGACTTTAATCCTAGTCATCCATTTGCAAATTGGTCCCTTGAAGGAAGCAAGATTTGTGACTGCCTGATTTTTCCTTGCCTGCTGCCTAGCCAGAGCTGATTTATCAATACAGGATAATTGCAATAGAGAAAGAGTTGAATTCATGCAGAGACAGGTGTATGGAAGACCAGAGTTTTACTATTACACAAATTAATCTCTCTGAAAACTGGATGGTTTTTTAAAAGAATAATTTGGTGGGTATGGGGTCAGAAAATGCGGATTGCTGATTGGTCAGGTCCGTGATGATATCATAGGGAGTTGAAGCTGTCCTCCTGCATTGAGTTGGCTCCTGGTTCGGGGCCACAGAACCAGATGAGCCACGTTCATTTGTTGGGTTGGTACCACCTGATCCCAGTACAGGGTCTTCAAAATATCTCAAGCACTGATTTTAGGTTTTACAATAGTGATGTTGTTTCCAGGAGCAATATGGGGAGGTTCAGATTCTTGCAGCTTTCAGCCTCATGACTCCTAAGCCACAATTTCTAATCTTGTGGCTAATTTATTAGTTTGGAAAGGTCATCTATCCAGTCCCCAGGTGGGAAAGGGGTTTGTTTCAGGAAAGGGCTGTTACCATCTTTGTTTCAAAGTTAAACTACAAACTAAGTTCCTTCCAAAGCTAGTTTGGCCTCTGCGTAGGAATGAACAAGGACACCTTGGAGGTTAGAAGTCAGATGAAGTCAGATCAGCCCTCTTTCTCTGTCATAATTTTCTCGGATACAATTTTTGCAAGGTGGTTTCAAATTTGCAATCATGAACCTTAGTTCTGCCATCTTGGCAGCTGAATTGTTCTCAAAACCTGTAGCTAAGCTGGCTGGGGCTCTGATTTCTAGTTAAAAGATCAGAGAGCATGCGGGAATATGTGCAGCTTTCCACAGAAGTGAGCTCCAGCAGCAGTGGAGACAGAAGCCAGCTCTAAGAAGACAGGTTCCAAACAGAGCTGTTCGTGTGTGAATGGAGAAACACCAGGAGCTATGCTCCAAACAGCCTGCTTCTGTGTATGGTCTTGGGAAGCTGAAAAGCATGACGTCCAAGCATTTAATAGCCATGCGTCTCACCCCACTGCTGTTACCTGTTTGCAATGATCCCATTTTGAATGTCAATTTAGAAGATAAAAAAACTGCTGTTTATCAGATTTTTCTTAAAACTTTCCAACTTCTATGTGTGTCCCTAGAATATATTTTCTTTCTAGAGAGTAAAACTGAGTAGCCACTATTCAGAAATGCTGTGTCATAAAGGGTATGCTATGCAATCACCTAGCCTTTTCAAAATCCAGAAATCCTAGAAGATGCATAGTCTGTACACAGAATTCTTCTCTTCAGCACTTACACCTCTATTAATGGATATGTTAATTCTGTGAAGTGCCTTTAATTCTGATAGTAAGTCAAGTCCTGATTAGCTGTCTATTCAAATATTGTTTGATTTACCTTGAAACACTGGCACCTTATACAGTCTAAGCACAAGTCTCTCAGCTACTACTGCTTTGTCTAATAAACTCCTGGGACTGCACCGAGATATAGACAAGGACACAAAATTGCAAACTGCTTAAGTAAAAGACAGTCAAGAGCGGTAAGTGCATTGTCTATTTATATAGGAATACATCTGCATTTATTCACGAATGTTATGTGAACGGGTAGAGATTAAAAACAAAACCCATTAAGAACAGATTAAATTTAATTAAAAATATTCTGAATTATGGTCAAAGCAGTGAGAATATCAATAATTTTTAAAAATATAGATCCATGGAGTATAAACCTCAGCCAAAGCAGCTGCAAGGGAACCCTCTAAGGGAATCTGTATGTGTGGCTTCTTATCAATGATGCCTTTTAAAAAATGTTGGAGCCTTTTTAAAAATTGTACCCGTTTTCTCTTTGACTGACTTTTCTAGGCTATGTCACGGCCGTGTGAATACAGAGATCTGCATCAAGATGTCGCTGCTATGACAAGGGCCATCAGCATGGATTTCATCGGCATTTGGCATACTAATGCCATCTTATCTTAAAGAGAGAAATTAGCATTATAAGGTCCTGGACTTGTCAGCTATAAGGACTACAAAATATCACTTCTCCTGCTGAAAAAGACCAGCAAAATTAGGATTTTCTTTTTTCATGTTTTTTTTTTTTAAATTTCTGTTGTTGTTGTTGTTGTTGTTGTTGCTGTTGTTGTTGATTAGGATTTTAATAGAGCAGAGACTTCTTCAAATAACCACACTGTGAAGCTGGGTGATGGTGGCATGGACAGTGGGTGCCAGGTGCTACCTGCCCTTCTTGTTCCACTGAGTCCAGATGGCATTCTAGGGCACCACCTTCTTGAACAACTCTTGGGGAGGAAGACTGTCACATGGACACAGCACATCCCAGTCCAGAGTCCACAGTCACCCACAGCCCCAAGCAGGTGACAGTCTGAGCTGAGCTGGAATTCAAAAAACTTTAGAATTGGCTCCAGATTTGTGAGAGGACCTGGGTTTGGATCTCTGTCCATGGAGGCACTGAATGCACGATGACCGGAAACAACAACTGTGGGAAGAGAGAATGGCATGGGGACAAGGCTGTCATTACTCCAAGTACCATGGGAACTCAGGCCTGTTCATCTAGTCTTTGGAGGGAATCTGTGCATGTGAAATGAGGCTCCCACATCATGGTTATAAATGGAGAGATGAAATCAGCTCATCTTCCCCCAGGCCCACAATGGTCATGCCAAAACACAGAGTCTTGCTGTGTGGCCAGGCTGGAGCGCAGTGGTGAGATCTCGGCTCTCTGCAACCACTGCCTCCTGGGTTCAAGTGACTCTCCTGCCTCAGCCTCCCAAGTAGTTGGGACTACAGGCATGAACCACCAACCCAGCTAATTTATATATTCTTAGTAGAGACAGGGTTTCATCATGGTGGCCAGGACAGTCTTGATCTCTTGACCTTGTGATCTGCCTGCCTCAGCCTCCCAAAGTGCTGGGATTACAGGTGAGAGCCACCGTGCCGGGCCACTTGCATTTACATTCACAATAAAATGGTTTGGAATATCCCACTGTTGATTTGCGATTTCCTCCTCTAAACTTGGTCTGTGGCCTTGTATACATAATTAAATATTTTCCTGTATTGATATTTTGTGTCTGAAGATGAAATATTCGATGAAACATGTTTAAACATTTCATGCAAAGCCTTCAGTGGTTGTGAGCGTACTCTTTGGTGAATGCACGAATTAATCTATTTTAAATATAACATTTTTATTAGATGTGATAATGATATTTTCTCTTTTATCTTCACTTGTTAGATGAGAATAAATATGGAATACGTTCTTCCATAATCTATGATATTATATCTTATATTTCATGTAAAAAACTCCTAGAATATTTGGAATCGATAGTTGAAATTAAACAGCAAAATGAGAATTGCTGAAACCTAGTGATAATGTACTTGTGATGGATTTATTATCTATTATCTCTATCATTGTTAATTTTTAAAGTTTCCATGGAAAACTCTACTATGAACTTAAAATTTTCTATAAAACCCTTCGTGCCCTGCACTTCAGCTCCAATGCATAATGAATAAAGGAAAATGGATTCTCCTGCGGGAATTCTGCTGGACTCTTCCTTTCTTTTCCCTTTAACCTGCGGGGAGCATCTTGAGGTCACCATGGGGTGAGGCGACCATGAGTGGGGACCCTAGAGCTGCCGCTGGGAGGAGTGTGTATGTGGAGATGGGTTTCTTGGCCACATTTCTTCCTCGGGTGTTTCTGGTTGTGACGGTGGCTTTGAGGATGGTTTCTGAGGATCCTCTCAGGGGAGTCCTCCACTTGTGGTGTCTCCGCTGGGGGAAGGCCCGAGCATATCCAGAGAGGGATTCATAGGGTCGCCCCTGTGTGACAGAGGTGCCTTGTGCGTTTTAGGGGCGGTGGAGTCTCATCTCCCTTATAGGGTGGGAGGAATGTCTGAGGGAGTGCTGGAGGGAAGCCCTGTGTGTCGGGGTCGCTGTGCAGTCTCAGTACAGCCCTGGACCTAGGGAAGTCATGATGGAGAAGTCAGAGGTGCTTGGGGCAGGGAAGGGGGCGGCCTAGGCAGTCACCAAGGTGTAACAGCATCGCTGATGCCAGGAGGCAGTTTTGGGAGGGGTCTTTGGAGGGGAATAATTGTGGAGTCCCCATGGGCGGGGAAACTGTGAGGGTGCTCCAAAAGTGGAGGGCAATGCGGGGTGGGTGGGAATAATCTAGGGGAGCTCTCAGGGGAATAATGGGCCCCCCAGGAGTCAGGGGTGGAAGGAAGGAGCCTCAGCAAGTCCTGTCTTGCAGGGCCCTTCTGTAGGGCATCTGGGAGATGGATCCCTGGGGCTCCTGAGGTCACCGGTACCCTGGGTGGGATGTTTTCCAGGGTCAGACCTTCCGGAGTCCTGGAGCAAGGAAATGAAATTGGCTTCTTTCTCCCCACCACTTGGTTGGCGCTTGGCAAACTCCCTTCAGGGAGTCCTGGGGCTCCTGGGCAGGGAAGCCCCTTGAGCCCTGGGGGACAGAGGGGCCACCCCTTGAAAGCCAGCAGCAGGAACAGTTGGAGCTCTGCACCTCTGCATCCTTTTATTGTGGAATTGGAATTGGGTTTTCTTGGCGATGGTGCAGGTCTGAGGGTGGGTCCGGCGCTCCCCCTGCTCCTTCTCTGCCAGACGCAGTGTTCATTGCAGATATGACCCCCTGGGCTGGCGCTGAGGGGACCGCGGCCTGATGCAGGGTGACATCCAGGCTCCAGGGACTGTCAGGGGCCATCTGCACCCTGGGAGCACCAAGTCCACCCCACAGCTCCTGTGCTGGCCAAGGAGGGTGCCTGGCACCCAACGTAGACCCACAGCCTGAGCTCCTGAGATTCTTTTTATTTGTGACACAGAGTCTTGTTCTGGAACCAGCCAGGCCAGGTAGGGATAGAAACAGAAGTAATGCAGAGGGCTGGGAAAAAAAGAAAAGAAAAGAATAAAAGGCAAATTATTGAATGTGGTAGTCATGAAATATGTGGTTTTGCATTGGATTTCATTGTTACTTTGGGTTTAGAATGAGTGACTGAATGCAGTTTTAGGACTGGAATAGGCAACTGTAAAGCTCCAGGCAACTGGGCCCGGGAGGGTCTTGCTGACCTTCCTGTGAGATGCTCTTTTGAGGTGTGTTTGATAAGGGATATGCCCAACCCTATGAGTACAGCATCACATTCCTAACACTCTGTGAGTCACAGCAGTCTTCAACAAATTAAAATCATTTCCTTTGCTTTTCTGACCTGGTTAAACGAATCACATGGTTTCTGCCCATTAATTCCCCTAGGTCAGTCACCAAACACGTGCCTGTTAGCTTGCTGCCTCCATTTTCTTTATTATGCTTTGAACTGGACAAGAAATATATTTCATTTTTACAATCTGTGACTTGGGTTTCTGAAAGTCCATAATCTGTGATTTAAAATAGACAAATGAATTATTATTGTTATTTTTAATAATTGAAATTTGTATACTTAGATGCCAAAAACACCTCCACAATTTTTCATCTGATACTTATAAGAATTATATCATCTAGATGGAAAGGTCTCGGGTGCTAGGGGAAGAGAAACTCAGCCCAGGGGCCAGAAGACATGGTCTGTTACTCTTCAATCAGCTGCTGGAATGGGGGGCAGGACATAAGTTTTTTAAGCTTCCCTATGAGCAAAGCAAGAGAGTTGACTAAATGAATCCTAAGATCATTCCTGGAGCTGAAGTTCCATGAAACTAGGAGATCTACTAGTTTACAAAGGAGGGATCTGAAGCCTATCAGGGTTGATATCGTTGCCTAAGGTCAACACAAAGCCAGATTTCAAGTGTCCTGACCTTTGGTCCATTTTTTAAAAATTAATCCACCTAATACAACTCTATTATTATATAAGGATCTAGCAAGCAAGAGAATTAAGGCCTGAAGAACAACTTATTTCTATATTATATGACTATCTGATGGTAAAGGTAAGAACAGAACTATTTTGCTTTTCAGTTCACAGATGTTGCCTCTAATGAATAAAGGTCAGCATTGACTGGAGAGAAAAAAGTTAATAAGTAGGATGATGGAAGAGCACAACGGATAGAGGAATGACCAATAAAATATTTAGGAAAACAAGTGGAAACAATTTTACTGTAATTGGCTAGTGGTCATAGAATTAGTGAATAGAGGAAATGGATTAAATAAGATCAGTCTCATTAAACCGCATAGATATTAAACTGAGGTAACTTTTAATTTATTATAAACTCTCCTTTCATCCAATTTCTCATTATAAGCGTACTTGTGAACTTGTTCATTTGGTAGAAATATTGTGGCTAAAGACGAGACTAAAATCAATATAATCCCTAAATTGTGTGTCAGTGTCAGCCGGAGTCTTCAGATAGATGATACACTGCTTCACAACACTATGTTCATTACATGAATGGCTTTCAAATGATTGATTCTTGGCTCCATCCTCTTACCTGAAAGGTATTTAGGTATTTAAATGATACAACTGCTACTTCCAGTTGGTTTCTCTTTTTTAAGATTTGTGTTGTTTCTCTAAAGAAAGCACTGTAAGTTTGAATAATTAATTCTAGTAGTTCTGGGCATAGCTTAGGATTCCCTCTTTCTATCTCCAGACTCTTCCTATAACTCATTTTCTATCATTTTTGGAGGCTTAAGGAAAAGACAGTTTATGCTTTGAAAGGAATAAGAGAAAGGTAAAAAAAAAAAGTAAAGCAGTAATTATTGCATACATTACCTATCAGGCAGTAAAGTGTGTTTACATACATTTCTCTTTAATCATCAGGATATCCCAAAGAGCTTAGCACTATTATTTTGACTTCACAGATGAGGAAAGGTGAATTAAGAGGTCAAATTACATAGTCACAAGGTCACATACTTTATAAGTGACTTGGGAGTACAGAATTAAGGTTTATATCTTCCTTTAATTCTCATCCCATCAAATTTTTATATTTGGAACATCTAAAAGGCTTTGAAATAAAAGACATCTCTAAAACCAATCACTAATAAAGAATGTCTCAAATTAAGATTGAGATCAACAAGCACACAAATGATTGCAATCTATTTTAAGCTACAGTCTGATCAAGGCACTATATGGCCTTCAATCAGAGCAAGCTGACTTTGCAGCTGTCTAATAAGCAGACAGTAGTGCAGATGTTGTCTTAGAAATGATTATGTATTTATAAATAACACTGTAATTTGAATAAATACACACAGAATAAGCAACTAAGAATCATGCCCATATAAAAGAAGCTAAGGAACTTCCAGCTGTGCTAGCTCAAAACCAGCAGATATGGTTCACATTGTAGATTTGTCAAGTAATCATGGCAGCATCTTATAAATACATGAACATGAGCAAACAGCAAGTCAAAAAATTGCTCTTATTTTTTTTCAGATTGTTCCTGTAGAGACAATAGATGCTGTAATGCAGAAACAGAGATGAAATCAATAGATATTATGGGAACTCACTAAATTCAGACTATACAGGAAAAGACTATTTGGGAAGAGTAAAAGATAATTTTGGAATGAATTATGGAGTATTTTTTAAAGAAATGTAATTTTTGGCCGGGTGCGGTGGCTAAAGTCTGTAATCCCAGCACTTTGGGAGGCCAAGGCGGGTGGATCCGGAGGTGGAGAAATCGAGACCAACCTGGTCAACATGGTGAAACCCCGTCTCTACTAAAAATACAAAAAATTAGCTGGGCATGGTGGCGCGTGCCTGTAATCCCAGCTACTCAGGAGGCTGAGGCAGGAGAATTGCCTGAACCCAGGAGGCGGAGGTTGCGGCGAGCCGAGATCGCGCCATTGCACTCCAGCCTGGGTAACAAGAACGAAACTCCGTCTCAAAAAAAAAAAAAAAAAAAAAAAAAAAGAAAAGAAATGTAATTTTCTTCTTGTTTCCTTCCTGTTTATTCACATCTACAGCAAATGTTTAAAGGTAATTTAAGAGACTCATTATGATTTGAAAATTTTTCTGATCCTCCTAGCACCCAACATACACTAGTATTTTTCAATATATAAGCACACATTTCCCATCAGGATGTTTACACATTGGAATTAAATAGACCCAGTAGTTTCAGGCTTGCTGAAGAGATAAATAAACACCATAGCAAAAGCCCTTTAAATCTCCCAACAAAGGGGACTTTCACGTATAATGTGTTATTTCATTTCTAACCACTTATCAGTTTGGAATTAATTTATTGACATTGAGATAATGCCTAAATCAATTATATTTTAAGCAATAATGCAGAAAAAATCATAGTCCATCTCCACTCATGAAACAGATAATAAAGTAGGGATCCGAAACATTTTTCCGTAAAGGTCCAGATGGAAACTATGTTTGGCTTTGCAGTCCATATTGTCTCTGTTGTAGGCAATATGTAAACTAATATGGTAATGTTATAATAAAACTTTATCGAAACAGACAGTAGGTGGCTTTGGGCAGCATAGTTTGCTGATCTCTGTTTCAGAGTATAAGTCTAACAATGATTTTTTCCTCTTAGAATTAGCAGGGCCTGAAGAATATTAGGGTTAAACTTTAAAGCCCTTTGCTAGCCGAGATCGCGCCATTGCACTCCAGC